AAAAAATCCTGATGCACCACATTTATTTCTTTGGGTTTAGCGGCCCAGATGGGAGCAGTTGTTCCATTTCATCTATGGAATAAAAATGCTGTTGCTGTCTACAGAGACAGCAAAAAAAAAAAAAAAAGGGGTGCAGGTATTACAGGGATGGAAATGTGCAACAGTATTTTACCCAGAACTAATCTTCCAATCATTTGTGTTCTCCAACCCCCTGCCGTTTTATTTTCTGCTACTCAAATGCATGCTAGGGAAGGAAAAAAGAAATTAAGCAAGGGTCCAGTATTTCCGTGTTCTCCAAAATTGGCAGTATTGTTTTATACTCAGGTAGTTTTGATGCCATCATGTTTAATAAGGATAAAGAAGTATTTATCACACATTTCTTTGAAAGTAAAACTGGTAGTTTTGCACACAAAAAACCCACTACAGAAGGATTGAAATTATTATTACTATTATTTTAAGATTTAAACTTCAATTCGATTCACTGTCTATGACTGGTAAAAACTTAACAGTTCAAGTCCTAACCAAGAACCTAAGAGCTGTTAAGGTAACATCTGAATATGTAGGTAGTTCCAAGTAAAGTGCTTTTTTTTTTGTTTGCAGTCAGAATATTCACATCTGATAAGTTCAAAATTTCCATGTATCTAGGCGACCTTTTGGAGATTGCTCCAAGGGCTCCAATTACTATTGGTATAACTATTTATTTCTTCCTCCACATTCAACTTCCATTTGCAGATTGCTGTATTTAATTATTTGTTCTAGTTGTTTCTATTTATTTATTTTTGTCAATTGCTTACAAGATAATAGGTATAAGTAAAAAAAACATAGTTATGAATACATGGATACATATAAGAAAAATAAAATAAAAAAAGAAACAATAGGACAGGGACAGTAGGCACGTTGGTGCGCTTATGCACGCCCCCTACAGACCTCTTAGGAAAGGGTTGAGGTCAATAGTAGAAAGTCTAAGGTTAAAGTTTTTGGGGTTTGGGGAAGAAACCACAGAGTCAGGTAGAGTATTCCAGACATTGACCACTCTGTTGCTGAAGTCGTATTTCCTGCAATCAAGTTTGGTACGGTGTACCTTGAGGTTGTATTTATTGTTTGGTCTTGTGTTATGGTTGAAGCTGAAGTATTCATTGACAGGTATGACATTGCAATGTATGATTTTATATGCTATACTTCGGACTGAAGGCAGCGTAATTCTAGGTTTTCTGGGTCTAGAATTTCAAGTCTGGTGGCCTAAGGTATTCTGCAATGAGCAGAGGAGTGGAGAACTCTTCTTGTGAAATATTTCTGGACTTTCTCAACTGTGTTAATATCAGATACGTAATGCGGGTTCCAGACTGATGAGCTGTATTCGAGTATTGGTCTAGCAAATGTTTTGTATGCTCTAGTTATTAGTATAATATTAAATTCTCTTCAATTCATGCATCACTTATTATTATTATTATTATTGATTTAGTCTTCAATTCAATTATTATTGTTGTTATTATTGGTTGAACAATTGATTTGGCATTTTTATTTGCCTACTGAATCTTGTCAAGGACCTGGGATATACAGATGGTTGTTTTATGGTGTTAAAGGTATTACTGTAGGGTGTACACTCCTTCCAAGCAAAGCTGCCTTTTGCAATTGAGGGGTGATTTTTGTCAATGCTGACGGTGTTTAAGTGGTACTCCAGATTTTGGGGGATTGCACCCAAGGTGCCTATCACTATTGGCATTATCTTTACTTCTTTTTGCCAGAGCAATTCTGCTTCTATTTGTAGGTCCTGATTTTTCCCCCCCAGTCCTTTCTCTTCTGTTTTGCTGCTCTCCAGGTACCACCATGACCACGAGCCTCGTCTTTTTTTTAAAATCAACAATTGTTCAGTCTGGGGTATTGTGTGGCAGTGGCTTGTCTGTTGGCATGCTAAAGTGCCAGAGCACTTTAGCTTCTTCATTTTATATTACTTTATCTATTTTGTGGTCCCAGCGGTTCTTGCTTGCAGGTTATCATTCAGGGTTCACACGGAATTCAGTTAAAAGCTTTGTTTAATATGTCAGAAGCCCAGGGAGTATGCTGAACCAGGCATTTGAAGAAAGGTGTCTTCCCTTCTCTATCGCTATCTGACATGACCCTGCGACCCTGTGATATTGTACCGTCACATGACAATTCAGGAACCATGATTCCCAATTCCTTCCCGACCTGTATAGGGTTACCAAAACAGGGTAACACCTCTAACTCAGGGGTCCCCAACCAGCGGGCTGCAGACCGGTACCGGTCCGTGGAACATTTTCTACTGGGCCGCCGGTTTGCTGGGTGCCGCCATCTTGTTTTGATGAGAAAGTGCTTCTGGTGAGCTTTTCCGGTTGGAAAGCAGCGTTTGGGTCCTGAAGGAATCCTCGCACCTTAGTTTCATCGAAGGGGAGGGAGGCTTCGAACAAAACTAAGGCGCGAGAATTCTTTCAGCACCCAAGGCAAGGCGAGCCGCGCGACCGTCCCGAAGCTGTCCCGAAGCCCATCGACAAAGGTACAAAGGAGGAGTTGAAGGTGGCGGGGAGAAGCGGGGGATGGCTGGCTGGCCAGTCGCTCAGCTCACCTTGCCATGCGTGCTGATGCCGGTACCAGGCCGCGGATCATTTTCTGATGCCGGTACCGGGCCGTGGCACAAAAAAGGTTGGGGGGCACTGCTCTAACTGACCATTACATGGTGTCCAAGAGAGTTTTGGTGTTTTGGGTTTTTTTTTTTGCTCCCATCCAACAGTGGTCTGGATTCTTACAGTCCTGAATTGGTCACCCTGCCCATGTGGTCTTGAAATATTCAAGCCGCTTCCTTCCATCATAATGCTACTCATTTTGCCTGCTTGAAAGTACCGGAATGGGAATTATAACTTTTCAATCTGCTAGGGATTTCAAGGGAGGGGATTGTCTCACTTATGCCGGTTACGATGGAGTATTTGGCACATAAGGGTAAAGCAGAAGTGAGGGGGAAGAAGGAACCAGAAGGTTGTCCCATGGGGGAGAGTGGGTAGCAGAGGAGGGCGGGGTGATTTGTAAACTAAACAATGATGACATGCCAGCCTAGATGACAGACGGTTCCTCCAGGGATGGGCATTGTGTTCAGCTCTGAAGGCCTCGACAGAAATATTTTGCAAATTCTAGGGTTATGACTAAGCTGCACGATGTAGCATCATGCAGTTAATATTAGGATAATGCATGCGTCACAAGAAGAAATGATTCTGACCGCTCATAAGCACAGCCTCCCTCCGATACCCTTTAAAAGAGTTGAGTCTTTTTCAGGCTGTCGCTTACCCTAAAAATAATATATGCCACTGCTTTAAGAGTCCTCTGGGTCCTTTAAAGCAGCAACATCCTTTCTGCTTTCTTTCTTTTTTTCAGCCCTCACAGCTTCACCCTGAAGCCTGAACAATGCTGGGCTCCTTTAATTACTCTTAGATGTATTCCTGAAATATTCCTATGAAAGATAAAGTCTCCAACACGAGCTGAACTTTGGTGAATTCGTAGATATATCCGCGTAGTTTCTTTGACAACAATAGTTATCTGTTGGCTTTTTAAAGTATTTTTCTTTTTAATTTTTACAATTTAGCCTATAATTCAGAGATTTCCTGTTAGTCATCGAGCCAAGCACTAGCTAAGTTTAACCCCACTTGGTTATTTTTTTTTAGATCTGCTAAGATTTTGGGAGTCCTTGGTGGTCTCTGAGCTTGGCTGTTTACTTGCAGATGTTTCGTGACCAAAGAATGATGACGTTGCATAGTTTGGTAATGAAACCAAGTAGAAAACAACCAAGTTCAGAGACCACCAAGGACCCCTCATTTAAAGCCTAAACTACCAATATTCCCTTCTTTTGGTATCTGCTAAGATTGTCTAGGTGCTGCCACCCAGCTGGGTAATTTTTTCTATATTTTTAAAAATTGAGTTTCTCCTAAGCACCCAAGTTCTTCAGCTTTCTCTGGAAGTCATATTTGGGAAACTTAAAGACACTCCTTATTCTAAGCAAAGCTGATCTTGATCCTAGAAAGAGCAAAAGTAACCTCAGAATTAATATGTAAGTCCTGAAATAAAACTCAGTGGCTTTGGACACAATACGAAAGTTTATCCCTTATTTCAGTATGCTAATGTTCACAAAAAAAATCACCACCTATATCCTGTCTTCACATGTTGGAGGGCTGGTGCTGTCTAGCAAATTTAAATTTTAGGATTGACTTTAGTTAGTGTGTAAATTTGGTATGAAAAACAGCTAAATTCTACATTGTACAGTATCTAAATTATGAAAACAACGCACATTAGTGTGTTTGGTTTATTTTTAAGAAAGGGAAAGGATCTTGGAACTAACCAATGAAAATCAGTTCATTGGTTCAATGTGTCTCTTCTAGTATTATCCGATATACAGTAATTATCTCTATATATCAAGAGCTTATGTTTGAACTATAGCTGCATGTATCTATGTGAGATGAACTAGAGATTTTAGCCCTCTGAATCAGAAACAGAACTTCACTGGCATTGTCTGCAGGAGGAACAGAATACTGCAAAGCGATTTTCAAGATGCTGAGCTCAGAGTACGGTACGTTTGCATAAACTGCAGACAGGCCAAGGACCCTAAGCCTTCCAAGTTATTTAAAAAGAGCAAAAGAGAAAACGAAAACAAAAACATGATAAGGCATGGCAGCAAATTCTTGCAAACTCAAATTCAAGCTGACTGCAATAAAAAACATGTCTGTCACTGCCTGTCCTAATTTCACCTAGCATGTCTCTATACCCTTAAGATTCCTCCTGGAAGACACGTGGGGAAACCTGGATTTCATTAATGACCATGATACAAATCTGCTGAAATCTACCCTGGCACTTCTTTGCTTTGATTTTCATAGGTGAACCAGAGAAACATGAGGAATTGCCTCTGTCTGCAGCGGCATCCTCTGTTTGTAAGAAGGGAACAATAACCTTCTCTGGTCATTTTACAAGCGACAGGAGAAGGCTTGGGAAAAGGAAGTTCTCACCTATGCAGACGATATCCATAAAACCGTACATCCCATAGCAGATCTGGAAGAGCAGGTCCTGCCGCTGCCACTTGGCTGAGGGGCTGAGTGATGACCAAATCAGCCAGGAGATGCTGGCAATGAGGAAGAGGGAACCCAGGATGATGGCTGCAATTTGCACCTTTTCAATCACCGTCAGGGAAATTGCCTGCCACTGCCAAGGAGAAAACAAGCCAAAAGAGTTGATCTTGGGCGATTATTCTTGTGGAGTTGATGGCAGTCCCTACCCAGTAGGACTGAGAGGGCCACATCTGAAGATCCCCCTTCACCACAGAGACGATGCAAGTCACCTCTGGTATTAGCGGAATAAATCTAATGTTACTTTCTCTCCTATCTTAGCTGCAAGTTCTCTTCGTGTTCCTTCTTTTTGTAGCAAAGTGGGAGAGGCAGCAGCCCACCAGAGATTGCTGAAGCACCATCTCAGCATCCATCACTGGGAGTACAAAGACGTCCGGCCACATCTTGAGAGCCACCAATTCTTTATTCTTCCCTGTCATAACTCAACCCCCTGTCAAGTTAAAAAGCATTAATTCTAGTATCGGAGGGTGGCTTTTTTTTTTTGCATAAAAGGGAGAGCATGCAGGTGTGTAGAGTTGATAAGGAAGTCACACAAGTTTCACTCTTATCCATCCCAAAGGGTGTGTTTGGATCATCCGATCATTTGGAAGGTTAGTCTGTGTCCATGAGATGTTGTGGCTTTTGTCGTGGGGTGGGTGGGTGGGGGGGCGGGGTATGACCCCATTAGGTTTAAGTGTGGGTTAAGATCTGGGTTTGCACATATTGTTCGTTTAGTTTTTCAGGTTCTGTTAGCTGTTCAGAATCACTGTGGTGAGTTGGGCAGCCAGACAAAATACCTAAATAAAGCAATACATCGTATTTGCAAGGTAAATTGTTGCTCGGTCTCCTTTAGTCCACTTTCAGCGCTAGAACCCACAGCTGAAACTCCCATATTGTATGTATGTATGTATGTATGTATGTATGTATGTATCAATGTATGTAAACTTTTACAGTTCCTTCCATGAGGAAGGAGCAGGTTAGGGAGAGAGGAAGCAGCTCCTCTATGAACAGCTTGTCCCTGGAGTTAAGGACAAGGATTGACGTTGCCAAGCAAACTGTCCGCCTGTGCATGACTCAGGACCAATTCATTTCTTTTGTCACTGGCAGAGTCACCACTATGCGACTTATTCGCCTGTCGCTTGGTCGTTTTCCCTCTCCGTTCACCCCTTACATGGAGCTGGAATTCACCAGACGAGAGGCTGTACAGAGAGAGAACCGAGCACCCAAAGTTGAAGGAGACGGTTATGCTACATCGTGACCCTCCCCAGAATAAAAATAAATAAAGGTTATGTATGAGACTTTTCCATCCCTAATGTTGTCTGCCAGATTATGTTGCACTTGCAGAAGGGAACAAGGGAAGGCGGGCAAGATATCTCTTGATCTGCCAAGATCCCTTTCAGCGTGACACTCCTGGCGGAGGTCACCCAACTGCCTCTGCTGATGTGTTTGGAGTGAATGACAGCTCCACAGCGGAACCTGCTCCCTCTGGGCAGTTCCTCCAGGAGCGTTTGGGGCTGCTAAGGCTACAGTATATGGGTGGTGAAACAAAAGAGGACAAGAGGGAAGGGGGATGTGCATCCAAGAATGCAGACATTTCTGGGGAACCTTCTCATCTGCCCCATATCTCAGAGGGGGGACAGGTGGAGTAATAATTGAATGCGATAGTAGCCGTGTGTGTGTGTACATGTGCGTGCATGTGTGAAAGGAGGAGGAGGAGGAGGAGGAGGGGGAGGAGGAGGAGGAGAAAGATTATATAAGACACATGGGCAAGAGGCACCACGTCTACCATCCTCTGCTCTTGACTCCTCTATTTCCCCTTCCAGCCACTATTCCTAAAGCTCAGTCGCCAGGCAAGGCTTACCTGCAATGGATTCTTTGTGCTGATGGCTAAGACCTGGTACTTGAAGTAGCACAGCTCACAGCTCCAGGAGCCCCTTTCACTGATCCAGCGAATCAAGCAAGGCTGGTGGGTGCAGCGGACGGAACCATCACAGCGACAGGGGCTGAGCAGCTCCCCCTGCAAGAAAAGAGAGTTGGAAGAATCACATTAAAGCAGGGAATCCCTTACTACTTCCAGCAGAGGAACAGACTCTATGGTCTCTGGCTGGATAATAATGACCCAGGCTAGCTGGGGTAATGGGTATTGGTATATGGCGCCATCTGCAAAACTATTGTTCCTTATTCCTAACCTATACCCTATCCTCCCAGTCTTGGATGATGATGATGATGACGATAATAATAATAATAATAATAATAATAATAATAATAATCCTTGTTACTGGGATCTGCTTGCATAATCCGCCCCGATACATCACACAATCCTAAATGCTTGGGAAGTGTTCAACTAGTGATTTGTGATATGAAGCCCAGCATAGTTATCTCATTTGCTGTGTACACTGTCATTTTTTGTGTATTATAATAATAATAATAATAATAATGGTGGCGATGATGATAATGTCACAAAGAGGAGGGGGATCAACTTATTTTCCAAAGCATCAGAAGGCAAGACAAGAAGCAATGGATGGAAACTAATCAAGGAGAGAAGCAACCTAAAACTAAGGAGAAACTTCCTAAGAGTGAGAACAATTAACCAGTGGGACAGCTTTCCTTCAGAAGTTGTGGGTGCTTCATCATTGGAGGTTTTTAAGAAAAGACTGGGTCGCCACCTGTCTGAAATGGTATAGGGTCTCCTGCTTGAGCAGGGGGGTGGACTAGAAGACCTCCAAGGTCCCTTCCAGCTCTATTCTGATTGATAGATCTCCCATCATGCCGAGAACACCCAACCTGAGCAAACAATCCCCTCAAAAGCCCACTCAAGAGAATTCTGGGTAATAAGGCCCATCTCTAGGCTAGCTGTCCATTAGCCCCGTTTCATTATTTTTAAAAAATGGCTCGTTAGTTCTACCTGCTTAATGTGCTGCTGGGCAAACCAGAAGAGCAATTAGCATCAATATTTCAGGCCCGCTTGCAGGAAGTATTAATGATGTGTTATGGATATGAGCCTCGGAAAGGAAATTGCTGTGGGTTCCTGTCAAATGGACGACAGGCAACACAGAGGTCAGCAAGAGTTCTCTCACATCCTGTTTCAGATACGACTGATCTCACCTAATGAATCCCATTACTCTGAGCATAGCAACAGAGGGGAGACCAAGTACAAACGACCAGAAGACACTGATTGGGGCCACCTGTTTGCAGGGATGGGCTGCTGGGGATTCTCAGGGGTTCGGGAGAGCCCCTAAGATTATGTGGAGTTTGAAGAACCCCCAAATCTCACTCCTGGCTGGGCCCGCCCAACCCACCCCTCTCCCAGGAGTCCCCAGCGGCCCATTTTGGATGCAGGTGAGTGCAGGGTGCACACAGAGGCTCAGGGGAGGGCAAAAAACGGGCCTCCCAGAAGTTCAGGAAGGCCAGAAATGGGTTTGCTTCCAGCTTCCAGAGAGCCTCTAGAGCCCGGGGAGGCCCTTTTCACCCTCCTGGAGGCTCAAGAAAAGCCACTAGAGCCCTGAGAGGGCAAAAATGCCCCCCTCCTGCCTTGGTGCAGGAGGCTGACTAGGCCACGCTCACCATGGCCACGTTCACCCAGCAACCGGGCAGAGAACCCATTGCTAAAATTTTTGAAGCGCACCCCTGCCTGTTTGTAAAGTAAAAATCAGACACATGCACATACTCACACACTTTATTTACTTAAGATGCTGGGCATTTTTACTTTGAAAGGAAAACAGAAGTAACGGACTTCTGCCCACACTGCATTCTGTACCGGCATCCTGCTGAAAAATACCTCCCAACGTATGAACACACAGAGGGATACAACAGTAGTTGAAGGACTTCAAAATTTAAGGAGACCGATGTAAAAATGACAGATTTTTGGTGGGATGACTTCACGGATTGGCCTTTGGGTACCGCACCAATGATCACACACACGTATGCAGAGTTTATGAATGTTGTCCACCATAATAACAGATAACAGAAATGAGGCGGAAAAATAATAATTTAAATTAGAATCATGTTTTACGGTACATGTTTTGAAGAGAGAAAAAGACACACACACAAACACACACCCCTTTCAGAGCCACAAACTATTGGAAAGAAAAGCATCCATGACTAACTGAATTACTAAATCCCTCTGCGGGATTGACGAAAGTCTAGGCTCCTGGTCTGCTTTAGATAAATAGGAAGATGAGGGGCAGGATAAAGGGGAACAAGACATGGAAAGAGAAGGGTGGGGGTATATATTTCCATTTGTCAACAGGGTGAGGAGTTAAAAGCTTCGGGTCAGATGAGCAATTGCTGTTTCAGGCACCATAGGACAGTATATAGTCATAACACAGGTGAAGTCTCATTGGTTCTTAGTGTGAATATGAATTCCATATGCAATCATACACCGTAACAGTACAAGATTGTAGTGCTGCAACTTCTCTACACTATGAACTAACTCTGGCTTCTCATGAGGTGCACAGTGCCATGATACGTTAAACCCGTGAGGCACCTCAGAGGTCTTGGCTTTGAATGGGCCTTCAGTGAAGCAGCCCTTTGAATCAGGATCTGTCTTTGTTATGGTCACAGACAGCACAAAAGTTAAACATTCAAATAAATACATTCTCTAAAAATTATTAGAAAATAACTAAGCAAAGTAGTAATACGAATAAGGATCTTTAGTTCTTTACGTGTGTTTTTTTCTTATCATTGCCGCAGCACAAAATTTTGCTTCTGCATGACTAGATTTGAATCCTGAAGGAGATGGTTTGCGTAAAAATTATCTGATCTCCCTAGAAATCTCTCTAATAGAGGGGGAAGAAATGTTGATCTGATGTCCCTGTAGTATTTGCAGCATGTTCTGTCGTAGGCCTCCCCCCAAAGCAATTCTGAGTCCTGGCAAAAACCTCTTTATTTACATTAATGTGAATTTATTTCATTCACAGTCAGCCAACGGCTTGGCAAACAGTCTTGCAAAGGTAGACTAATTAGCTCAGATCTTTATCAATCCTGGAACACTGCCTGGTAAAAGTCCACACTCAGTGCTGACAGGGAAGGGCTGGATTATACAGACAAATCTTCATGAGGCTAGAACAAACAAATGAACGAATGAGTGAGTTGTTTCCTGCAAAAGCCCCCTCTCCTTTTGCTTCTCTTTTAATCCAGATGGGAGCGGCCATTCATCATCCACCTGTGGCCTTATTCTCACATCGACACTGAGTTCTCAATTGTACCTTCCTTTTGGCAGCTCTGCACATGTGCCGGCTGAGAACTGGTTCCAGAAGCTCCCTCACCTCATTGCTGTCTGAGCCCGAAGGCAGCTGACGACTGCCAGCCTGCCCTGGAACCATCTCTGCCTCTGATGCAGAGCCCTAATCCGAGCCTTCCTCAGCGTCCAGGAATGGCTCGGATTCCTCCCCAACCTCCTCATTACTATCCAACTTTGCTGCCAGCTCCACCAGCGGGCCACAACACTGTGTGAGATGTGACTTGTAAGATATCTTCCCCATTGCCACATGTACACATTCGCTCAGCTTTTGGAGTTTTAAGCACCCCTTTGAAGCCATTCTGCCAAGCAAAGTAGCACCCCACTTTTAGGTGTAGTAACAGGGCCATCACAATCAAAGCATCTGCTTGGTTTAACCAAGGTCTGAAGTCGGCAACTCTGCAAAGCAGCGTGGCTGTACACTGTCTAATACGCCTATAGTCATGCATGCTTCTAGCCTAGGTTCTGGAGAATACCTCCTCCTGTTCATTCATGAAGGATGATGGCTACTGGTGGCTATTAGAAAGATGGTTACATATTATGTACATACATATTACATACATACATATTAGCCATACATATATACATATTACACATTAGCATACATACATATTATATATTAGCTATCATTCTGCTAAACAAATAATTCCCTCAACACTGTCCAACTATTTACTAAGTCTGCATTACTATAACTGTGTTTCTCCAACAATACGGCCTCCACCAATAGGAAGGCCCAGCATGATTTCTAGGCATGAGGTGAAATTAAGCCCCACCCCCAAAATTTAGGCCTATTTAAACCATGCGTTTCCCCACCATTTCTCACATTGTTCGCTAGAACTACACGAGGTGAAGAGAAATGGGAAGGGAAGGGGGGGAGAAAACTTGCCTTTAGGAGCGCCATGCAGGTAGCCTAGGCTAGAATATCCTGAATTACTACCAATAGAACATTGGCCGATAGAAGCTCCCCAAAGGCAGAATGACCAGCTGCTTCTATCGGCTGGTAGAAGCGGCTGCCAACTCTGCCTTTGGGGAGCTTCCATCGGCCGATAGAAACGGCCTCATGAGGGGAGTTCGCATTAGTTGTCTTTGAAACTACCAGCAGGGCAGGAGAGAAAACACACACGTATCTGTGCCTGGATGAAAATTGTGAGATTGCAGAGGGACAGAGGGAATGGGAGAAAACGCCTTAGCCCAAATGTATTCTTGTTTTGCTTTCTTGCCCATTCTCTGATCAATCTCTCCGGGGCAGCTTTTAGCCTAAAATCGCCCAGGTCTCCCTCAGCTAAAAGAGAGGGGAGGTCTCCAAACACCATCCTAACCTCTGCCATTTGAGAGGACCAAACTCATTGCTTCTCAAAGTTAGACCCACAAGTTTTTTAAAAGTTCTTCTGAACACCTCCGACGTCCGATGAAATCAAGAAATGTCTCGTGATTGAACTCAATCAAAAAAAAGAAAAGAAAAAAAAGAACCTGCACCTCGTCGCCAAGTCCCTGGTTTTACGGCTCCTCTCTCGTCCCAAATTATGCTGAAATAAAGGATTCTGAGGCTGGCGTTGGTTAATTGGTTAATGACGGGCGCTCTTTCAGGTGCTCAGAGAGAGAGAGAGAGAGAAAAGGAGGCGTCGCTAAAGTTCTCAGACTCCCCCCAACTGTTAGCAACGCCACCCGTGAGCTGTGGCAGGATTGCCTCGGATCATGTGCAGAGTGCCTTCGCCGTTCAGCTCCCCCATCCACGACTCAAGGTTCATACTAAAATTAGGCCTTTCCAACCAGTCCCT